CAAAAAAAAAAAAAAAAAAAAAAAAAGATGGCAAACTAGTTTCACTTTGTCAGCTACCACACCGCAAAAAATATAAAATAAAAATGTTATGACTCATCACTCTCTTTAGCTTTAACGCGGAAATGTATTAAAGATGACGGAGCAGAAGAAAGAAAAAGTGGTTCACTCACTTCTCATTTCTCAAAAGTCAAAGTTTCACACCAGATGATAACTAACTTAAACACACACCAGTTGAAAAACTTAAATGATAGTATGATGGCAACTCTGTGGAAACGAGTAGCAGCAATACGAATTATGAACAAAGCTGTGTATGGAAAGACAGGAAGAGCGAAGAAGACGGGAGAGATTTATTGTACCTTGTTGAGAATGAAGAGAGGAAGAGAAAAGAATATAGATACAAATGAATTGATACTTTGGGGAGGTTTTGAAAAGGAGATTGCGGGATCTCCCTATAGATGAATAGATTGTGAGTTTGAAGGTTGGTTCTGTGGAAAGTGTTCACACTTGACTCATTATATGGAGGCAACTAGGTAGTAGTCATTGCTTAAAGGGCAAGCATCTTCTTCCGTGATGGGCAAGCGGAATTACAAGTATTCATACATTAATTGTTTTGTAAAATAGTTCGGCCATTTCCAAAATCACACAATACTATATTAATTTTTTCATTTATAAAATACTAAATGCTTTTAGTTTTTTTTTTTCATTAAATAGACAGATTTCTAGAAGAAATTTCTAATATATTTATGTCTTTTATCTCCTTTTGTTTTGTTATATTCTTTGAGAGACTTTTTGGAACACGTAAATTTTTTTAATTTTTTCTTTTAGAAATTGCAAATTAAAAGTATTAGTCTGATGTTTGATTTTTTTAGTAATTATTTTTATGAAAGGGAGAACTGTTTCTAGGTTTAAAATAAAATTAAATGCAATAAAAACGTCACCTTATATTTATTTATTTATTTAATACAGTAATTTTTTTAATTATTAATATTTATAAATATTTTTAATTATCCAAATAGATTCTAATTAATACTAAACATTATGATTCTCAAAATTTATGATACTCTTAAATCATGATGGAGACATCCTCATGTATAGGGATGACAATGGGGTTCCAGGAGCGGGTAATAGTAAACCTGCTCGTGCCTCTGTCTCGCTAGATGAAAATTGGCTTCATATCCACTCCATATCTGCTCGGGTATATATTAAGTGAGTATCTATAAATTTCTTGAATACCCACAGATATTCATGAATATCCATGAATATTTATAAATTTTTTAAGAAATTAAAAAATTATATTACAAATAATTTTAAGTTTATATTTAATGTCATTGAAATATTAAAAACAAAAATTTAATGTTAATTTTAAACTTGTATTTAGCGTTAATTTTGTTGAAATAATAATAAAAATGCAAGATAATTAATAACTTAAAATACATCAATCTCACAAGTAAGTTAAAGTCTCATCACAAAGCTACAATAATTCATTCTTAAATTCCAAATGAAAGTAAATAACTTAAAATACATAAATTTTATTGGTCTAATCAAAGCTAAAAAGTTAATCAAATTACATCCAACATAATTTTATAACATGCTTAACACATGTTGATAACTTCATCAACCTCATTTTTGTAAGAAAATAAGATGAGAAAGTATAGTTTTAGGGTTATGTGGTACAAGGATAATTAGGATATTTAAGAATTATTATTAAACAGGTATCCACGAGTATGAATATCATCATACCCGCCCCCTCCCCGTTTATAAACGGGTAAAAAATTATTCGTCTCCATTATTCGCAGGTACCCAATTAATCTATCCATTTATTATCCATAGCAGATTTTACTCGCAGGTACGGGTATTTTTGTCATCCCTACTCATATAAGAAAGTTCTCCTAAACATCAAATATATTTAGTTTTTTATTTTGTATTTTCTTAATAAAATAAAGGGATTTCTAGAAGAATTTGTTAATATACTTCTGTATGTAAGTCTCTTACGTTTTTATTTTTCTTAAATATTAAATGTATTTAATTTTTCATATAGAAATTTCTTAATAAAACAGAGAGATTTCTGAAAGATTTTTTTAATATACTTTTGTATTTAATTTTTTTAAATGCATTTAATTTTTCATTTAGTAATTTCTTAATAAATAGATAAATTTCTAGAAGAATTTTTTAATATATTTTTTTCCTTTAAAACTGTTATTTTTATTTTCCTTAAATATTAAATGTATGTATTTTTCATTTAAAAAATAGTATTTTAGTATGTACATTATAGTTTACCTTTATGATAAATGAATATATTATTTTAATTATTGATAATTTATTTTAAAATATTTAATTTAATTTATAAATCAATATCATAAATAAAATATTGAATTAGATATGAAGTTAAAAAAGTTTTTCAAAACACTCTCATTGAAAAATGGTCCTTAAAAACAAACTTGTATAAATTAATATATAGAAGTTGATAATGTTCATGTCCAATTTCACCTTTAATTTTCATTTTTATCTCATAAAAGTGATAAAATGGGATGAAAATGAGAACTAAAGGTATAACTTAATCTAAATATTATTAAATATTAATTATCGTGTCATCTATTTAATATTAGGTCACGAGTCACCACAAATATTATAATTTTAATGATTAAAAGATGATCATGTAATGAATGGATTAAAATTTTGGATTTTATAAAATTAAGAAATTAAAATTAGGTACCAAAATCGTGAATTTGATATTATAGACAGACAAAAATGTAATTTAACCAATCTATTTGTTTATTCAATATTAAATTCTTTAATTTTTTTACTTAGTATTTTTCTTAATAAAATAGAGTGATTTTTCTAACACTCATTAGATTTGACGACTCAGTAACTCCACGACACTTTACATGGTGACATTTCATATGATTCTTCATTGATCAGAACCCTTTACTAATTAGAACCTTTCGTATATAGTCCTTTCTAAAATGCCTAGTACTTTAGAATCATTAATTATCCCTATAAACCAACACATGACTTTTTAGTGTGTTTTATTTTCACTCGCACATTTTTCAAGAAACTTTTTAAAAAGTGTTAGAAATAAGGTCAATAAAGTTTAGTTCTGCCAACTTCACACTCAAGATATCCAATCCTTGGTATGTGGGGTGTGTTGAAGACCCCACATCGACTAGAAATAAGGTCAATAAAGTGTATATAAATCGCGAACAATTCTCACCTTACTAGTCAATTTTGTAGGGTTGAATTAAGTTTGGTCACTCATCTAAATTGCTCTAATCAAACACGCTTAACTATTAAATTCTTTAGTGATGAGCTATTAAATAGTAGATGTATTTTATTGGTATAGATAATAGTTATTAATTCCTTTATGAGGTTGATGATTAAAAAAAATTAAAAATAAAAATATATTAAAAACATTTTTCAATTTTAATCAGATTTTATATTCTTCTTTTATATATTATTGTAAAAAGCTAAAAGCAAATATATAGAAAATTTTCAATTCAACCAAAGAAATTTTTTTTATTCATAAAAAATAATCAGTTTTAGAAGTTCTTAAGAAAATAAAACTTTTAGAACTGGTTATATATATTTTTATATATAAAAAGTGATTATTTAAAAATATAACAAACGGACTTAATAAAAAAAAAAAATAAGGTTCCATTTCTTTTCACAATTTTTGTTGTTTGGAATAGTATATTTCTCAGTTTTTTTTATTAAAATGGGATATATAAAAAAATTACAAGAATTTATCTCACGTAAATTTTCCTGAAAATCCACCAATTTAATAGATTTCGAAAGAGAATACCCATTGTTGTTAAAAAAAATTGTGATATATAGCTTCTTTCTATTTTTAAAAGGAAAATTCAGATGACAAATATGATAAAATTTAATATAAATGTAACTAAAATATAATGACAGTATAAACTTTATTTAATTAAAACTCATTCTATTATTAAAAATTGTTAATTTTAGAATAGTTATTTTGAAATTATATTTAAAATAAATTTGAATCATATAAAAATATTTATATAAAAATTAAACTCTGGAAATATTTCATTTTTTGCTTGATTTTCAAAAGAAAGAAAAAAGTAGAAAGAAAATAAAAAATGTGATGGTTTTCTTAAAGTTGTTTAGTGTAACGTCTCTCCATGATTACTATACTAAATGGATCAACTACTAGCAATAAAATAACTAATTGTGTGTGTGTGAACTATCAACAACGAAAATAGATAATTGTGTGCGTGCGCATGTGTGTGTGAACTACCCAGCAACGAAAATAGCTAATTGTGCATGTGTGTGCATATGCATGTGCGTGTGTGTGAGGGGGGGGGGGTAATCCAACACTATAACAATAAAAACTTTAAGTTGTCGGTTAAGCAACAACTACCAAAAGCTACATCAAAGTAAGGATCACCACTGCCATCACCAACATGACCTCACCAAAAACTCCATCTGCAACCTATCATTGTCTTGCTTCTATATCAAATATGATCATCACAATTCAATCATTAGGAGACATGCAAGAGTAAGTTATAGTACAAAAAGAATAATCATACAACAAGTATATAAGTAAAACAACTATAATATCAACAACAAAAACATGTAAACCATACAACAAGATCACACCATGGTCTACAACTTAGCACCACAACAAATCACCTCAACATGGAATTCAACATCTTGCAAGATAAGCAACTTAACAACGTATGAAAATTCACATTTCACCACATCATTATTATTCAACAACATCCTCAACCAAGCATATGAACCACACCATAACCAAAAGCAACATATCATATGCATAACACCTCAACTGCATGTGTCATCACACATTCACCTACAAAGGTCTCTTACTACAAATTTGAGTACTCTAAGTGGCTTGGCCCAGCTAAACCATCATGATCTTTTTACACATCGTTAGATTAATAGCCAATTGGGATATCAATCCCTAGCAAAATGGTTTCTCAGATGTTGTCACTTAAACTAGGAAATATAGTATTCTTGTTTGGGTAGAATAACTTGGATACGAGTCTACTACAATATTAACTTGCAACACTAAACTCCCTGTGGGTTTAACCTATCGATTACCCTTTAATTATTATGCCCTACTAATACCCAGTTAAGGACTAAGCCCCTGACCTTATACCTTACTCAATTAGTCATTTTATACATGTATGCTTCGACTTTACTCATGTACAGATAAACATTGGTCACTTATAGCCGATATGTTTCAACCTGACCCACATACTACAACAACTAAGGTCCTAGAAAAGACTCAACTGTCCCCTTTGAGAGTTAACAACTCAAGAAGGATTTTCAACAATTGGGCTCATAAAGCACTACACCAATATCCTCACAATGGGATATCCATCTTCTAAAAACATCACTTCCTCTAATCCTAAGTCAATCAACAAATCATGTCTAAATGCCTAAAGCATTCTCAGCATCACACCTTAATAGTTCAACAATCAACCAACATATCATGCCAAAATGCCTAAAACATTCTTAACATGCAATATATTTACCTAATTTATTCGT